GTTTCCTCCTTTTAAGTTTTATCAATTCGCCTCTTCACAAACAAAGAAAAATTAAATTAAATAAATAATTAAAAATTTGAAAAGCAAGCCCAGCCAGAGATGAAGAATTTTTTTACATAATACAAAATATATATTATCCCCTCTTGTAATATATTTGTTTTGTTTTTTTTTTCTGCTAGGTCTAGGTTCGAATACTTTTTTAAAAAAATGTATTTTAAAAGAAAAATTTTGTTATAATCAATTCAACTATGTTTGTGCCGGCTTTGTATCTATTTAGCTTGGTCCGGAAAGTTTTGAATTAATTTTTTAAATTTTAATTTTGTATATATAAGTAATTTGACTTGCACATTAATTGTATAAATTTTACTATATGATATAAACTTAATGTGTATTTTCACACATCCGAGCATAATTCAATAGATATTACCATTTTTTTGTTTGATAAAACCTAGTACCATCTTATTGATTTTTCAATATCATAACTTGCTTTTTTTTTCAAATATAGCATATGTGTTATTTTTCTTACTATATTTTATATTAAGTTTGATTTGGATTTGATATATTTTTTTAATATATATCTATTTATATTATTTAATGGTTAGATGACAAGTTAGCTAGTTTATTACTGGCATGAGATTTATTAGACACAAAATTGAAACTTTACAAATCTATTAGAAATGTTTTATAACTATGAAACTAAATAGATACAATTGTGAAAGTTTAGGCAAAACTTTTTTTTTAAATAGACTTTAAAAATGAGAACCATAACTTATAATCTAATCTTGAAAATATTATAACATTACATAAAAAAATCTAATGTACAAACTTGACCGTAGCTTAGCTTCAAAAAAAAAGAAAAAGAAAAATAGACGTTGTGTCGAAGCATGTATCCCTAGTCAAAAACTGGTGTGTTCGCTCCTTCGCTCCATATATTGTTATCCTAAAAAAAATGTCAGTAACTACGACCTCTAAGTACAAAATTTTGAAATAAATATTGTATTAAAATTGGAGTACTACATATATTTGTGTTTTTTTTTTCTTTTTCCGAAACATAACATTTGACAAATTTTATTTTCGTGGAAATTGCATATTAAACTTTTGTAAATCTTTAAAAATGTTTGATTAAACTGACAAAAGACTAATCATTTTAGAAAATATATACATCCAAGATCTCTTAGCCACCTAATACCTAATTTTAAAAAGGAAAATAAAAAAAATAAAAGCTAGAAATCAAGAGACTATTTATGAGAGTTAAGGTTAATATGTCATTTAAACATATAATGTGTCCTTAATCTTTACCTCTCAAATGGGCAATGAGGTGGCAATGTCCTTGTCATCTATACAAGGAATCAAAACACACACATAAGCAGAAAAAGTCCAATAAACTCTCGATACCATACTAACTTTTGTTTACACAATAAATGAACCCCTCATTAATTATTTTTAATACAATACATATATGGAAAGTGTTGAGATTGCAATGTCTGCAAACAAAATCTCACGTCGATTAGGGAAGAGAGTGATTCATGGTATATATATGAGAACGATTGTCTCAATTGGTATAAATGTTTTGGGGTGAGACCAAAAGAAAAAGGAGTAATCCATGAGTATGATACTCGCCTTTAATTTATTTTTGGTTTGATTATGTTGTTTTCAGTCGTATTTTTTTTAATGGTTGTCAAAGTGAGTATAATTCAATTAGTTAAAGACATATATCTTACTAAATAATAATAATAATAAAATTAAATATGTTTGGTAACAATTATAAGTGTTCCAAAAATATGGAGATTAAAATATAAAACATAGTTCATAAACATTAATTCATTTATTGCATCAATTAAAAAAATATTAATTGCATTCATATTTTGTTAAAGACGTTTGAAAATATATTGTTTGTTTTGTATAATTTATGTTCGAAAATATACTATAATATTATTACATAAATCTTTTTTATATTCAAGTATAACTTTGATCAGTTTAACATTTTGTCCATAAAAAAAATCAGTTTAATCTTTATTATACAATGCAAATCTAGTTATATAAATTTACTTGTAAAGCGATAATATGTTAAATTAATCACTTAATCCAGCGAAACTTATTTTATATTCCTCCGAACAAAATTTATTTTATAGTTATTTCTACTTTGATATACTTATTTCTTTTTAATACAACAATATATGAAAGTAGAAATTTGAACCTATAATCTTGTGGTTCAACCGTTCAAGAATGAAAATAACATCTTAATCAATAAAAATATATTCATATTGTTTTTTTAGTACCTATTCATGTTAGACTAACACGCAAATTGATATATTGTATCGTAGGATCATAATTTATTTTGAGGCAAACTACATAAATAATGTAAAATAAATAATAAATATAGTTTTCAAATACAACAAGAACCTTGAAAATTTTAAAAAATACCATAATCCAATCTAACTCAAACTTTCATCTAAGGTAAAACCCATCAAGAAAAATCATAGTTTGTGTTATAGTTAAGTAAAAAAAAAAGTTGGACACTTTTTAAAATACATATTAAATTTATGTTATTGAGTGAAATTTTTTTATTTTTTTATAAATGAATATTAGCCCTATAATGTGAATTAATCATTCATTTTTCCTGTTACTTAATTTAAATATTAGAAAAGAAAGAGGAAAAGAGAAAATCAATAAAAAAAATATATATATCGTCAGACTGAACATAGCTCAAGTGGTTAAAGTACTTATTTCTAACTAAAAACTCATGAGTTCGAATCTCCATACATGATTTATAAAAAAAATCGAAAAAATATATATCAAAGTTTATTTGATTTTATTAGAGGGAAATTCAATATAATGAACTTGCCTTTAAAGTTGGAATTGTTTGTTTCTTTATTTAGTATTTCTAACTTCAGTGTCACAACTACAACCAATATGGAGTCAGTCCCACTACTACTTTTTTTTTCTTTTTTTTTTCCGAACCATCGACTCAAGTTAAAAGATAACTATTTTTTTAAAGGTTGTAAATTCGAATTTTTACCACCGTAAATTAAAAAATGATATACTTTTTTTCCTTAGTTGTTAGAGTTGGGAGTTTGAATTTCCACCAAAATAAATAATATCTTGATTTGTTGAGTTATGCTCTTATTCACTCAAATTATTTTATTTTCAATCAAATATGAGTTAATATCCAATATATTCAAGAAGAAAGATTGAAATATCAATCTCATCGATCTCATAAGTATCATATCAAATCTCATCAATCGAATCGCTTTTTCGAGAAATATGAGACATCTAAGTCATACAAATAAAGAGATATATATATTCATTATAAGAAAAAGAAAAAATGTGAACGGTGATTGGATTGATGATAAAATAGATAGAAAAATATAATACTCTTGTATATACCTATTCAATTAGTAATTACTTAATAGCCAAAGCGAGTATAGTTCAGCAGTTCGATCCTCCACCCCACATGTTGTATTAAAAAAAGTACTTATACTTAATAAAATTAATATACTATTTAATTTTGTGACTCAAAATACATTATTCCCACTGCTTAGTAACAATTGTTTTTAGTACAACAATGCTTAGTAACAGTTGACAGTGAATGATAGTAGATTTTTTTTCTTCTGAAAATTAAAAAATTATGGATCTCCTGTCACCTAAGGTTTTAAAACATAGAAGAAACGAAGAAATTTGTCAAAAATGTCACATGAATACGAAGAAAGACAACAACGTAACTAAAGCAAACAAAATAGCATAAGAAACACAACATACATAAAATAAAAAAATAATAATAACTAAATCATCCCAAATAAATCTCAAGTAGACCTTATCAATGTTTGAGATCCAAAATGAAAGCTATTGTAACGCCCTGCTCAACTTTGGAGTTCTTACGATTGAACCACTGAAAAGGAAGGTGCACATTGTTGGTATAGGTAGTGACTATCAATTCTTTTAAGCCTTTCTTGACCATTCTTTCATGATCTCAGGATCTCTGTCATACGGATGTGTGGTATCGATTCAT